GAGTATTTCTCTCTGAACTTTGACATTAATTGGCTAAACAGAGATAGCTGGGATGACTACTACACTTAAAATTAATTAAAATAATTTGAACAGTTTAATAAATTATATTATATTATGAATTATATATTATGATTTTTTAAGATATAATGCTGTTTGTTGTCACTGATTTGCATTTTTAACACCAAAATGTAAAAAGAGAAATTAAAATAAATCCTACCCACAAGTATTCTGACTCTACTAGTGTTCTATCAACAGGTTGAATTTCGATTCAAGTAATTTTTAGAAATGCATCAGCAAACACTCGTCGATGAAACAACCCCTCAGAGGACCTCAGATGATGCCAACCCTGAAACAACATACAGAACTACCACATTTTGCTATAAGTTTGATTGCATCATATAATAATTGCTGTTAATAGTGTTCATCGTCTGTTTGATTACGTCTTTAATTGATTACGTCTTTAATTGATTTTTCCGTACATTTCTGCCTAATGTACATTAACTGACAGTCACCACTGATAAGCTACCACTAAATATTGTAGAAACTTAATTTGCTGTAGAGTTGCTTTGCAATGATTTGTATCGTGAAAAGCGCTGTACAAATAAACTTGAATTGAAAACTTGAATTGAATGTCTGAAGTCCTGAGAAATCCATTTCAGATCGTTGTATGTTTGAGATTTGATCTTTCACTGCACTGTGGGTAAGGCGGTTGGCGTTTGAGAAAGCAAACAGCTATTGTTTAAATAGATTTATATCTTATGTCAGGTCATTGTTATGTAGGAGTGCTATCATCCAGGGAGGAAAAAATAATAATGATGCTAAAAATATTCACTAAGCTACTCAAGTGGTACTTGATGATGGAGAGATATCCATTTTTTGGCAATGAGATTTTATTTTTTAACTCAAGGAAAATTATACAGTATTTGGCATTGAAGCAGTGCAATAAAAAATGTAATTTTGCAGAGCATCTTGCCCCTAGTGGACACTCATTACAATGTAATAATTTACATGTGAATGAAGTGGTGTGTGCGTTGTTAAGTAAGTTCCGATCAATGGCTAGTTTCAGATTTGAATCATGTGACTTCTCAGAAGAAGCAAGTAAGTACCCTCTAATCCCTCTAATTTTTGTGTGTGTGTGATTCAATGCATCGCTGAATTCTTGCTCACCTGAGATGTATAAAAGCAGCTGCTCAGGTGCGTCTCACAGGTGAAGTGAGCTCAGGGGCTCAGGTACCATGATGTACTCAGCTGTGGTGTTGAATCTTCTGTTTCTGGTTTCCATTGCTTCAGCAGGACACCACTATGGAGGCTCAGTGACCTTCAGCCCTAAAGGAACCAACGCAGATGGGAGCATGAGGGTGAGAGTTTATTTCTTATTTGTATTTTAAAAGTGCGGAATTATACATCACATTATGCAACACTGCCTATGCACAATGAACTTAATTTAAATTATTTTTTAATTATTTGCACATATGCAGACAGAATAAAATGAAAAATAAAATTAAAAAAAAATTTTTTTTAAATAATATTAGATGTTGGTTTTTTCAAGTCAATAAGCTAAAATAATATTTATGGAAATAAATTCTACATTTGACTTGGTCCTCTTCACATATATGTAAAATAAAATATAATAAAATAACTGTAATGCTGCACGGCAATGTATTAATATATCAATGTCAAAAATGGGGAGAAGCAATCATGGAAATAAATCAGATGGAGAAAGTAACATGTCATATTTAAAATAGTATAAGAATAGATTAAAATAAAGTAACAATTTTTATTGATGAAGACTATTACTCTTAAAAGTATATATAGTTTGAACAGTTTAATTAGTAAATTATATTATGAATTATATATTATGATTTTTGTAAGATATAATGCTGTGTTTGTTGTCACTGATTTGCATTTTTAACACCAAAATGTAAAAATAGAAATCAAAATAAATTCTAGCCACAAGTATTCTAACTCTACCAGTGTTCTATCAACAGGTTGAGTTTCGATTCAAGCGAACCTATGACTGGTGTATATCTAGTTGGTGGCACTGCGCCTCTGGAGATTGTGGCTATGAATCCAGCAGTGTAGAAGGTGAAATCGATAGCAGCTCTAACGGCAGAAGTGGTTTCACCAACAGCTGGTGCCAATCAGAAAATGTTGTCATAAGAAACATCCGTGGAAACACACCCTTTGACCTGCAGTGAGTAACTGAATTAGTTTTAAATGAATATTGAAATGTTCATTCAGCATTATCTAAAATACACTATTGTACCGCAGGGACTTCTCATGCTGCTGGGTGCCCACAGTCAACGGTGTTGGTTGGTGGTTCCTCCAGGCACATGTAGATCTAGGCATAAGAGCTGATACCCATCAACCCAACCGCTCACCTGTCACCACTACTTTACAACTTCTACGGTTACTCTTATATTTATTCAACATGCGTAGTTTCCTATGAACAAAATTAATCACTAATGAGAATGCATGTAAAAACTTAAATTAGAAAATGTGATGAAAATATGATCTATATACAGTGGGTACGGAAAGTATTCAGACCCCCTTAAATTTTTCACTCTTTGTTATATTGCAGCCATTTGCTAAAATCATTTAAGTTAATTTTTTTTCCTCATTAATGTACACACAGCACCCATATTGACAGAAAAACACAGAATTGTTGACATTTTTGCAGATTTATTAAAAAAGAAAAACTGAAATATCACATGGTCCTAAGTATTCAGACCCTTTGCGGCTGCAATATAACAAAGAGTGAAAAATTTAAGGGGGTCTGAATACTTTCCGTACCCACTGTATATATATCTCTCTTTTTATCCATTAGTGTACCCCAAAACTGTCCTCGTAAATATCATCTGATAGCCTATGACCCAGATGGTGACCAGGTCAGATGTAGATATGGAGCTCAGCAGTATGCCGAATGTGCCACATGTGACCAGCCAAGTGGTTTCCACCTAGATCAAGTAAGAAACACAAAATATTGCCAGAATAATGTGATATATACTGGTATGTTTTCACAGTGGGAAGGCCAGAGATCTGTGGGTGAATCTTTGTGAAATAAGGTTATAGCCTATTAGTGTGTTTTTGAATGACAATCCAAATCAGAATTAAAACTTTAAACTAAAAAAAAAATACATTAATACTAAATAAAACAAAAAAAAATAAATAAATAAATAAACAAAAACTAGAATACACCCTTTTAGGCTAAAGGATTATACCGACAGAGAAGAACACAAGAACATAAAATGCTTAATTATGAATGAAATGCGTTAGGAAAACGCTGAATATTTTTAAAAGCTGTTCATTTAGAACTGTCGGAACGAAACAATTCATCAGATTTCCCACTCTACAATATGAGAAAGGGAGCTATTTAGGATGAAATGATTCACTGGAATGTATCAAACTTTCTAAAGCTACAAATGAAAGAAGGAGAACCGTTTAAAACGAACAAATTCACTAGAATGCATCGGACAAGACACAAAGGAGAGATCGCAAGTGCGGTTATTTACCTCAACTCGCTCAGCAGTAAAGTAACACAAATACGGCATTAAAACAGCGATCGTTGCATGCGTGAAATAAAATGATTACGCTATACAAAATATGTTTACACATCAACAGATGTGATTATTTTAGTAATTTAATTTTATTTCCACACAGTTAGTAACCTATATTCTGACAGCTTCTATCAATCTATAGACCACCTAATAAAAGCTTCTAGAACCGTTTTGAAATGAAACGCAATGAACATACACTAATTTGAACATCTCAATACTTCGTTAGCGTGCCTGCACACTGGACTACAGCTATGCCTCCATAACAGGCGTCTATGGATTTGAGCTGATTGTGGAGGATTTCCCCAGGAAACACACCACTCTGGCCTATACTAATGGCTCCAGCTCTTACAGATGCGCTCTGAGTGGTGAAAGACACCGAAGGTCACTTAATGTGACACCGTACCCCTGGTATTACCAAAGTTCCACAACTGTACCATGGTGGCAACAAACTACTCCTTCACAATGGTGGTTGTGGTGGCAAAATCAACAGTCGACCACCGCTGCACCTACAACTGCTCCATGGTGGTGGTGGCAACAGCAATACACAACCGCTGCTCCACCTACATCGGCCCAATGGTGGTGGTGGCTGCAGACCACAGCCACAACTACAACAACAGACCCACCTCAAGAGTACACAACTTCCATGACTTCCCATCAGCGGTCTTATGAACCTTTCAGCAAGCTCCCTCTGCAATTCAGTCTTCTCGGTAAGGCTTTCTCAATGATCACCTAAACATATTAGTAGTATCAGTGTGCCTAATGTGTGGCTTTCTCATTTGAATCATTACAGTTGATTCAGCTGCTCCTTCCTGCACCGAGGGACATTACATACCTCACTTTGTGTCACCAACTCCACGCAATGGAGATGAAATCCAAGCTACGCCACTCCGTGAAGTGGAAATCCGCGTTAAGGCTGCAGCAGCTTATTCAACGTAATGCACATGTGAATGCAATCAATGCATCAGGTTATTTTGATTATTAGATGGGTGTATAACATGTGCTTATTTTTCATTCTCAGGGTTACTGATATCATTATCAGCGGCCCTTTGAACATAACTAAGCACGCTTTGAGCACTGGAGAGTACGCAATCAGATGGACACCAATGAGGAGCGACCTCGGAGATCATTTCCCCGTGTGTTTCATTGCTGAGGGCGCGAGCGGGTGGGTAAACTACTAATCATATTTCAAATCTAGCAACTAGCAACCTTTAAGGTGAGCTGAATTTCAGAAATATTACTATTTATTATTGATTTACAGAAGCAGCGTTTATCAGTCTGAAATGAGATGTGTCATCATCACCGTTGGACGCCAGACTGGTTAGTAATTCACTTTTATTGGGACAGCTATGTTTGCCAGCATAAACAAATTGTAATTTTGGTAATCAATTCTCATGATTGGTCACCTTTACAGTGGATGCAAATGTGATTTGCACCACAACCAACATGGTTGTTGAAATTGAGCAGCTGCACTCTGTCAGGCTCCACAAGGACTATCTGCGACTCAATGATCCTGCCTGCACTTTGGACTCAAATGGCACTCATGTGTTGGCAAACTTCTCCCTCAATGCTTGTGGTACCATGATTGAGGTAAAACTCTTCTCATAGGCTCAAAAGAAAGGAAGAAATTACCAAAAATGTAATGTTTGTCATCAATTACTCATCCTCATGTCCTTCCGAACCAATTTTGTTTTCCATCATCCATTAAACACACAAGTCAGAACTTATCTTTTCTGAACAATGAAAGCAGAAAAAAGCACCATAAAAGCATCACATGTGGTCCATATGACTTAATTTGTGGTATCTTTTGGTGCTTTTGGTAATAAGTACTCTCCACTTTTGTTGTATGGAAAACAGAAGCTTGTACATTCAGGATGGAATGGCATTGGTGCGTTTAAAAGTTTTTCATACTCCATTTCCTTCTACAGGAGGATGAAGAGTTCCTCATTTTCAAGAATGAAATTTTCTCAACTGATGACCCGAACAGCATCATTACCAGAAAGCACGAGGTGGAGATTGAGTTCTCCTGTCGTTACGAGAAGAAAAACAACATCTCACTGGAGTTCACCGCACGGAGACATATAACCACCATCACCGAGAAAGGCTTTGGTACCCTCACCTACAGCTTCGGACTCTTCGAAACAGCAAACTACCACACAGAAATAGACGTGACTGCATATCCGGCGGAGTATGAGCTTGGGGAGATGATTTACATGCAGATTGAATCCCAGTCTACAATCAACAACACCGAGCTTTTCGTTGAATCATGTGTCGCGACACCATACAACAACCCCAGCTTACAAACGTCCTACACACTCATCCAAAACGGGTAAGAACAATCCACCATGAGCTGCAGACGCATTAGCACAATCAAATTAATTCACAATTGACCTGTTAGACCGTCTATATATAATGTCTTTATCAATTATGTTCTTCAGGTGCATCTTGGATGAAACGGTTGAGTTCTACACAAGCCACCAGCCAATGGTTCGCTTCGGCCTGCAAGCCTTCCAGTTCATCGGAATGCATGAGCAGGTAAAAACTGATTGATTGGATTATGATGAAAGCAGTTTAGCAGTCAACATACTCTACAAAAACATAATGCTGCTACTGACCAATCAGAGTTGAGTATTCCAGACAACCATGACTTCGTCTCTCTCTTTCTCCCTAGGTGTTCATCAGCTGTTCGGTGATTCTGTGTGAGGCCAACAATCCCTACACCCGCTGCTCTCAGGGCTGCGTCAACAGCACAGTCGCACCACCGTCCCACCACCATCACAGAAGAGAGGCTCCCATCCAGACCGGCAGTCACTTAGTCTCCCAGGGGCCCCTGCGGCTGAAGAGGAGTGTAGAGGAGCATGAAGGTAAAACCTCAGAAACAAGACAACATATTAGATTAGAATGATTATTTATAGAATGTGATACTATTTTAAAGGGGCAATAAATGTAGTGTTGGGATGAAACGTCTTGTGTTATATTTCTTAAGTCTTTTAATTTGAAATAAAGTAAAAAATACATATTTCAAATAAATTAGTTGTATAATATATAAAATACTAAAATATTTGATATATTTAAAATAAAATATATATTTTAATATATACACTATATATGATGTATTGACTGACATATGTGTTTTTTCCACAGTGTCCTCCACAGTCCTGAACCTGAATCTGGTTTTCATTGCCGGATGTGTCCTTGCAGCTGTTGGCATGGTGTGTGGTGTTCTCATCTACAGAACCAGGAGATCAGACGTCAAATATCAAGCTCTTAATTCAGATGAAATTTAATGGAAAATCTCAAAGACTACAAAAAAATGTGTCCTCTTTGCTCTCTCAGGGAAGATTCTGGCTTTAAAAGACTTGGTTGATCTTTTTTTTTCTTTTTGTTATTTTGTTTCCTTTAAATATTGTATTATAATCCATAAATGGTTGTTAGGGTTATTTTTCATAACTTTCACTGTTTCGGTCTATTAGTGTGTATCTCTGTTATTGCACTTTTTAGATTGCTGATGACAATAAAATATATAAAGAAAATAAAATGAGTGTCAGATTGATTTAAAACGAGTTCAGATAATGCATATCCACAAAGATAATTAAATGAACATAGCTCCTATATTGTTGTTTTAGTCTGTTTTCATATTCACTAAAGGCATAAGAAATAAGCGCATAAGAAATGCTTTCACACCAATCGAATGGATTCAAATCCATGCCAAATTGGCTCAATAAATAAAATAACCATGAAAATATTCAACATATAGCATGATTTTTATAGAAAGTGGTTGTATTTTAAAGTGTTATGCTGACTGAAATGGCAGTCTTGTGTTGTATTTCTGGAGTCAAAATATACTAAAATAAATGTAACATATATTTAAAATAAATTTCATGAAAATATTTACGAGACTGATGACTGATCCATTGAATCTCACCTGTTCAATAGTAAACACCTTTCACGCCAATCAAACAAATCAAAATCAATGTGAAATGTACTCAATAACCATGAAAATATCCAAAAGAATTCAGTTTTTAATTCAGTTAGGCTTTTTTTTTAAACCCATATCAACATGTGACCCAAATAAAATCTCATAAACTCTCATTGTATGGACAGGTTTTAATTATAACAAATGTTCCTGTTCATGTTTATGTACCATGTCTCCATGACGAAACGATGGCACCTGATCATACGAGTCCTCAAAATGAAAGCAAAAATGACCAACGACAAATATTTTTGTTTGTTTTTTTCTTTTAAATGCATGGGTGGAAAGCACAGTCTACTGACAGGCATTCTATACTCACTCGCATTCAGGTGCAAAACACTATCAACATGAAGAATCTGTGCACTCTATTTAACAATATTCACAGGTAGTATGACAAAAATAAGTTACTATCAGGACGAGAACTGCTCAGTAAACTTACACTTGGCTGATAGCAAGTTCTGATGCAGACTGGCAATCATTTTAATTATTTTCCATCAAGGTGGAATTTTTAAATTGGAAATATTGTATTGCTTTCTGTTCTGTTATTGTTCATGAAAGAGGCTTGGAAAGCATTTATTAAGCTGTCAGTCAAAGTCAGACACTGAAAAGACTGTCATTACTTTATTTTTACTGTATGTCACAATGGCATTGTGAAACTTACTTGTAATGTAATGAATAGAAATGCAAACTAAATGTTCTGAGATTATGTAAAGCAGGAACTCGTTTCATCTTATACCCAATACACATCTCAATGTACAATGTAAAAGAATATCAAAGTATAAATACAGAGCTTTTTGAAACTGCCTAACACAAGTACAGGGTTTCTTCAGGTTTAATTAAGGTAAATTCAAGACTTCCAAAAGAGTTTTTAAGACCAATTAAAGAAAAGTTAAATAATAAATTGAAGGGAACACAATATGTCAATATGGTCTCTGTGCCTAATAAGAATACAATGAATTCTTCAAATTTGAAAATACAACTTACAACCGATCTTAATTACTATTTGTTTCATTTTATACAAAAAATAGGTTAAGTAGAACATGGAAATAACTTTTACTGTGCCTGATTTGATCACACTGCACAAACATGATATTCTTCCTCAATATATTTGTCTTGTTTTCCAGTGCAAATGTCTAAAAATTCTTAAATCAAGGTAGATGCAAAAAATGACGCATGATAAGAAGTCTTGTTTTCTGAGAAATGTATCAAAATTAAGTGAATTTATGATTAAAAAAAAGGACAAATATCTGCCAGACTAATTAATTCAAGGGAAAACAAGTTTTCATACCCCATTTGTTCTTGTTTTAAGCATAAACTCAGTTAATTTTGTTCAATTTCTCAAAAAAATAAAAAATAAATAAAAACCAAGACTTTTATCTTCATTTTGCATCTCAAGTAAATGTATTTTGATTTAAGGATGTTTAGACATTTGTACTGGAAATCAAAACAAACACACTGACAAAGATATTCATTTTTACAGTGCATACAACATTTAATGCCATGTATGACTTTGTGAATTTAAGACTTTCTGCTCCAATTTAAGACATTTTAAGGCCTTAATTTGTGGAAGGGTAAATTAAGTCTTTTTAAGGCTCACAGAAACCCTGCAAGTAGGATTATTCAGGTCCTAAGGACTATTAATTGTAGTTAAATCATGTTTGACTTGTGTTAAAAAAAAAAAAAGTTGTGATCTCATGATCACATCTTATCAGTGTGCCATCGATCATGAAAGAATTTTCCACCCATCCAGTCTGAAATTCTCGGTTTGTAGGCTTTACCTGATGTTTTTTCGATGATCTTTCATTTCATCACACAGTTCCATCACTGTCATGCTGCATCCTTCATGCAAAGCAAAAAAATAAAAGTGTTACGTTTCATCTTGTACTTTTAAAATGTCATATGATTTCATGCCTAATGCAGTTCTATGCTTCCAACTGTTATGTAAATGCATCAGCAAGTACCTTTCAAAGTCTGTAGTCCAGAAAGAATTTCTGCTTGTTTTTCAAAGTTTTGAACTCTTGGTAAACCTGGTGGTATTTCAGAAAGCAAACAGGCATTGTCTAAGTGGACTTGTATCTTATTTCAGATAATTCAGTTTCTCACGCGAGAAACTGAAAAAGAGCAAAGAAAGCAGGAAACGTTCTCATATACAATAACCTATAATCTACTAATTCAGAGATATCCATTATTTGCAACAAGATTTTCCAACCCACAGTGAACTTTGCTGTCAGACACAGGACATTTGGCACTGTACTGTAATGAATGAAAGAAAGAAACCAGGTAGTAATTCTCTGAACCTGTTAACCTCTACTGGAGACAATAACATGCTCTGCAAGTGTGTGAGGAGGTTTGCTTTGACGAGTGTGAGTTTGACATTTAAACCATGATTTCTCAGAAGAGGGTTTAAGTTTTAATACCCGATTCAAAAGGCAGGTATATACTACCATTCAAAAGTTTAAGGATGGATAAGATTTTTTTTTCTTTTTTTGAAAAAGTAAAGTCTTTTATAATGTTAGAAAATATTTCGATTTCAAATAAATGCTGTTCTTTTTTAAATTTTATATTCCCCTGAATCCTAAAAAGTATATGGTTTCCCTGAAAATATTAAGCAACACAAATATTTTCAACATTGATAATAACAAATATTTCTTAAGCGGCTAATCAGCATTTTAGAATGATTTCTAAAGGATCATGTGTTTTAATCGTATAAGTTGTATATGATTTAATCATATTATTGGGCTAATATTGCTGGTTTAATCCCTAAAAGAAGCAAGCATGAGATCTCTATTATGTCTTTGACATTTAACCCAAACTTTTTGCTAACAACCTGAAGTCTGATCCATACCATTTATTACGGTAAAGAACTGCTCACTTAGACGAGAAAAGAATGCATGACAGACAAATGAAATTAACTACTTGTTCTTTTTGTTTTCACATGCCACTTAAGGGCATGTAAATAGCTGTACTACAGTAATAGACTGGTATGGGGAAACCGCTGTTAAATAAACATGGAATATGTGATCTGAACATCTGTGCTGATTTCATAGAAAAAACAAAAAGGTTCAAACATGAAGATATCAACATCAATATAGAGACTGCTAGAGACTTTTACTAGAGAAAAAAAGGCCTTTTCCTTTCAGTGATGATAACTATCAGAAGTTTTGATTAAAAGATTGATTAAGGTTTCAACTTCAAATTTTCACCTTCAGTGAACCTATTCAAATTTCAGTCAAATAAAGTCCTTGTATAAGGAGAGAGTACAGTTTTTACAATCACTAGCACCTATCTTTCAACAATTAGGTTCAAAACTGAATAAGACAGCTATTTGCTACATTTCTACAGTAATACTGTATTTCAAATGTAAAAAATGAAATACTATCCTATCAAAACAACTAGATGAAGGGTTAGCACGGACTGTGTAAGTGAATTCTGAACAGTAGAGAGCAGTCAATCTTGTTTTGTAAATAATTTTTCACATAAGAAATAATGTTTGTAAGTAATTTTAGCTCAGTGTTTTATGAACGACAAATTGTGTTTGTTGGGTGAAAACCTTTGTTAGTGTTATTGAAGAGTGACTTGAGACCTGTATGAAGTGATTTGGTAGTTTTAGTGCATTTTCGATGCAAAATGTATTTTGGATAAAGTTTGATAAAAAGTTTAAAAGGTGTAAAGGTATAAAAATGTGCAAGTGCACTATTTTGTATTTGTCCACTAGGTGGAAGGCCAGCATTTTAATGCTTTTGAGACTAACGGTACATGCCGCAACAACAAAATCTAAAATAAAAAGTTGTTGTCATAAAAGGCACTGAGCAGCCATCAGTACTTTCTGTTAATATTTTATAATTTGAAGTAACTTTCTACAGAGTTGTAGACAGAGTTGCCACACTTGACCAATGGATATCAATCTATGACCTTTCTTGACACACACATAGGTTTCAAATTAATTTGTTTAGAAAGAAAAAAAAAGAAAAAAAAAAGCATATCATCTAAAAATGTGCATGTTTTTTTCCAGGTCTGAAAATCTAAATATTACAACCCTCTAAGATTTCCTGATTTTTCCGCATGCATATGACCATAAATTTACACTTCTATCAAACCTACAATTAGAATGATAAGGTAACAAAGTCATCTTTAAGGGTTATTACATTTAACGCAATCTGAAAGCTTGTGTATATTCTGTCCACCTGTTAAAAAAAAAAAAAGTAGGACAGGACAGTAGCAATTTATATAAATGCATATTATCTTTCTATGGAGTTACAAACTAACCTGATTTGGTATTTCCACATTGTAAGAGAAATATTGTTCATCTGTGGA